AGACTTAATTAGGAAAGAAAAACTGAGTTGGGCAAAAGTTCAAGAGTCAAAATGACCATTATGAAAGAATGTATTTTGATTACAGAATTAAATTCATATAAGGAAGCTTAAATCCAGCTGGCTTACAGAGGTCAGTAGTTCTACTCGGGTGCCCATTTGTGTCTGAAATAATGCACAGAAGGGCACCTGAGGTCTTCCTCCACCAGTAAAGCTGGAATGTCGCCATTTAACCTATATTGTTTCTGTGTGACGTAAAACCCAATCAAACAAACAGAATTAAATCCTTGCATTATAATTAGTTACCTATACATTGAAATTACAACCAAATTATAACAGATATCACAGTGACTCACTACATGTTAACAGTTATGATATTAACAAATAGGATCAGTCCTTGTTATATGACTAACTGACTTCCATTAGGGTGTATAACATGTTTCGCAAGCATCATTCTCTTGTTACCTTACTATTGCATTGGCTGCCAGTGTTTAATTAATCCCAGTCCTTTGAAATATTTATGCTCCCAAAAGCTTCTTGTCTAGGACATAACTCTGAAACTACAAAAGATATCAATAAGAAACTTTGTAGATAGATGTATCTCATTGAGTTAAAGTGCAGTGTATAAGAACCATAACTTTTACTTGCCTAATTTAGGAGTTATTGCCCTTTTTTCATTTTTACACTGAATTTTGTCTGGGTCATAACTCTGAAACAGTAACAAGAGGTATCAACAAAAAACTTTGTAGGTAGATAGATCTTTTTGAGTAGAAGTGAAATGCATAAGAACCATAACTCTACCTAAGCTAATTATGAGGTTATTGCCCTTTTTTATTTATTACTCTTTGAATTTTGTCTTGGACATAACTCTGAAACTCAAAGAGATATCAACAAGTAACTGTATCTCTATGTCTAAAACCTATTTGGCGACCATCACCCGGTCCAACCAGCTCTTGTTTTAATTAGTACCAATTACCACCAGTATAAAATAGGCAATAGGTTGCATGAACAAATTTAAGTGAATAAACTAAGAATATTCAATTCTCATATCAGAAGTGTTCATCTGATAACTCATAACCTGACACATAAGATGATATTGAAGATACTAAAATATTCTTGCAAAATAGAATTCTTGTTTACAGTACTATCATTCAAAAGGGCAGGTAACTATGTAATTCATACATTTTTTGCTCTGTTAATTATTCCCCTTTTTCTATTTAAAATTTCTTCAGCTAAAGTACAATAAATTTTCTGAAAACCAAACAAAGATGTTCATCCTTATTATTTAGTTAATAAAGTTACATAGAATACTTGGTTTTTTTTTTATTTTAATTGGAATGCATATGACAAGAGGGCATAATTATTATAATTTATTATATAACCATGTCAGTTAGGCTAATTTTTATTTAATTATTTCCCTTTTGAACTTCAGATATTTTCCCTTTTGTACTGAAAAACCTGATAACAGATATCAGTAATTATTTTTAACTTAAAATATTTGTGATGATAAGTCTTCCAAATACACCTATTCAGAATTATGTCCTCTTTTTTTTACCACTTCCTGATCCTGAAATAATGAAGTTCAATGTACATGTAGTTATAATATATAGTTTCTTTTTTTTTTTTTTCTTTTTTTTTTTGGGGGGGGGGGGGGGGGGGAGGCTCAGGCAATCATTAATTGTATTTCAATGACATAAAACTATTTTGAATTATTTTAAAGGATAAGTTTAAATAATATGTGTTAGGAATATTCTGACAATTTTTTTTTAATGTTGCTTTGTGCAAGGGAGTTTACTCTTGAGGTCATATTTTTCAGTGCAATATGTTAATTAATAAATTAAACTAAAATAGACCAGGTCCATGAGCTACATTTTGATTAGGGGTCATTACAGTACTGTTACTGTTGACAATATAATAATTTCTATTTCTTTTATACAATTTTCCTTTTTGATTTTTTTATTGTACATGTAACATGTTTATATGTCATTAAAATGAAAACGGAAGTATATTTAAACTCTAAAAGGAAGTAATTTGTAATGAAAGAAATACTAAGATATCTGACTGTCACTGATTACCGGTAAAACATAATTATCTAAAGATCAACTTTATATAATACATTAAACATCCATAAATGATATTATAAACCATTATTCTTTCAATTGTGACATTTGTCAACTATGGGAATAAAAGACAATTTTTACCACAACTGACTTATTTAAAAGACTGTACTGTATATTTGAAATATGATCTGAAGTATTTATGTCATACAATATATAAGGTATTTTTAGATAACGTATATTTCAGGGGATTTTTGTAAAATAACCCGGAAATTTGTATAAGTACTTAATTGTCTTGTATATGATTCTGTTAAACAATTGTCATTATTGTTTTCATCAGTACAAAGAAAAGGTGGTAAGCATTTTGTAAAAATTGTCTTAATTTTTCTGTTTAAAGTGATTAAAAATACATGTAAATCTTTTCAAAATATTAATATATTAAGTATTTTAATTTCATTTATTCCTTTCATTCGAAGATTTTGAGTATAGCCTATTTTATTTACTTTGACATCTTTAATTCGATCTCCATTTTGAAAGTTAAAATTGTATTATATAAATTAATATATCAAATTTATAATGTTCACTGTAAAATTTCTATTGCATGTTGCCTGAAATTGGTATTTTATTATCATTTTAGTTGTCAGATCAGTAAATTCTTCTGATATCATGGTTTTTTACTATTATTTCTTTTTAAGTACCATTTGAGTGGTTGTCCTGTCTGTGCTCTGCCTCGCGCCCTGTCCTGTTTTTGTTAGGGGTCCTCCTGGACTCCCTTGCCGCTGGTTCTTGTTGCTGGGTTATGTAGGGGTTGTGTTCATTGAACGCTGCCTTTTCTTGTTGATCTTGTCTATCATATTTTTTGCTACATACCGTAAAATTCCAATTAACCTGGGGGGCTATTATTACAACACAGTTTTTCCTAAATCCAAAAATAAATACATTTAGTGATAGCAAGTGTTGGTAATAACATTAAAAAGGTTTTAAAGTTTATATGATAATTTGTCATTACTATAAAAAATGGATTCATCATTCTGAAGGATTTGAATGAAATTGTGGATTTACTCATGAGTTCAGCACTGAGGAGTAGATTTTTTCCATATCAAAAAGCCTTGAGTGGGGGAGGCTTTATTAAGGGAGGGGCATTTAATAGGAATTTTAAGGTACATGTCAATTGAACATTCTATTTATATATTTTGGAGAAACACCAAAATTGAGCAACAAACAGTATAGATTCAGGTCTGTTTATTTAGCACTAAGAGAGTTAATTTTATAAGTTATTATACTTTTAAGCAGCATGCCACCAATTTAATGGTTATTTTCATGAAAATTTTGAAAATGTTTCAAAATAATTATTAAGTGAACAAAGAAAGTAATTTTCAGTTACAATCCACTTAAGTAATGCCAAAACAGGTTAAAATATGTAAAATTAGCCCCTACTGTGTTCAGTCACACAGTAAAATTAATGGTGGTATTTGAATACTGCAAAATCAGTAATTTAATCACACAATTTATATGTAAAATATAACTTGAATCTTAAATCTTGTTACTTTTTTGAAAATCTAAGTACCGGTATATTTTTCTCAAATTTGATTGTCTCTTGAGGCTGCGATGATGGCGCAGCTTTAAATGCAGATAAGATTCAATAAGTACTGATAAATTTGATTTTTTATCTTATTTCTTAGCCTATTTTGGCCTTTTGTATCTATTTATATGATAGTTACATAAATTTCTTTTTTTATCATACTTAATTATCACTGTATTATATTTTCGTAAGACCACAACATTTAACCACAACAAATGCTTTACAAATTGCGTCTTATAAAAACTGTCAATAGTTTTTTTAGTTCATTTAATTTAAATCTTATTTTTTATTGAAAACAATATGATTCCTTCCTTGTTCACTCCTTATCTTTAACTGTGTAGTGTTGTATATTTTATAGGAAATACCACACATTACTTTAAAAAGTGACATCCATGAGTCAGCCCCAAACATTGTTTGGCTTTTGCCTGTTAAATGTCTGTTGACTGATTATTACTGTACATGTTAATTGGTGCATTTAATATATGGGGTGGTTAAGTGTTTGTTTTCTTATACCAAAAAATTCTATAAATTTTACATGGATGCATGAGTATTGTCAACCGGAGTGTGATCTCTACAAGTATTGGTCGACAGTCAACAGTGTTACATAACCCAAGCAGCTTTATTAGGACTTTTTTATTGTTAGACACATGAGTTAAGTTTTGAAATAAATTATACAAAAGAACCCTTTATTAATCCTGCCGGCGGGAATATTACAAGTGAAAATAGAATCTTGACATACATACAATGTTTTTATAGTTTGATGAATATTTTTTGTTATACCCAGCACTACCCCCCCCCCGCCCCCCCCCATCCCCCGTCTCCACCCCACTCTTTCTGGTTTTGTGACAGCATGTATTTTATTTTTGTGTGATATTGTTTTCACCAGAAAATTTTTAATTTGAAGAATTTTAGTGATTGTGTTTATATTTGGAATGCCAGGGTACATGTATTTTTAGTCTAATCACATTCAACGCATTAGTTTGATTCAGTCTGGTTAAAATTAAGTCCTCATTAAAGCACTACACATTAGGATCTGATTGGCATCAATAGGAGGTTACCTTTTAAACAGCCAATCATCGGCAAGCTTTCACAATTAAGAAAGCAATGTGGTTTCTAATTTAGACTGTTGGCAAACCAATACTGAGTAGGTTATTTTCATGATTTCAAGAACAAACATGGCATTGGCCATATATAGCAAGCAGGTCCTTTAAGTATTAAGTCTATTTTTTCCAGTTTATTTGTAAAGGGAAATCCAAATCATAATATACAGTGGCAATCAGTTCTACATGTAAGAAATAACTAGACTAGATCTTAACTTTATTTTAAGATTGTGTTTGTATTGAAATTAAATGACACAATACATGTATTTATATTCGTTATTTTTTTGCTTTTTTAAAACTTCCTGGTTTATGTTGAGAGTGTCAAATATTACTATATTACAAGTACTATTGTTCAGATTAAATAGCAATTCTGTGAGTCAGTGCTGAGCTTAAGAAAATAATTAAGAAAAAAAAATTAAATTTCCTTTTTCTTTGCAGAGTATATTTACCTGTGGGATTGCTGTTTTTCGTACAGTTTAAGTTTTAAAAAAGCCAACTACACAAGGTTAGTCAAATACCTTATTTGTAAACAAAGGAGAAATTATCTACATGTATTTCTGTGTACTTCAATTAGAATTATACATTCCATCCACATTATATAAGTGCTATTGGTTTGCTTATTTCTCATAAATGCTTGATAGAAAAACTTCTAGTTTAATAATTTCTGTCAAGTACAGTTTTAAATTTTGTAAAGTTTCATATCTAATGAGTAAAGCAGGGAGTCAGAAATGTTAATACATTAGTATCTAGATTTAATTTGGTGATACATGTTAGTGTGTGGATAAAAGTGAATATGACTATGACCTAGTGACCTACTTTTTGCATTTTTTCAAACACTGTGTAGCCTTCAATTAAGACCGCATTAGAGTTATGCAGTATGTCAACCAGCGATTTTTAACTTTAAGAGTACAACTTTGTTAAATTTAAACTATTAGTTTGTAATAATGTAAGAGCAATAAAAATTTCTGACCTATTTCTGCTGTAAAATAATATGACCATCTCTATATGAAAAGTTTTTACTTGCCTAATCGTCATAGTAAGTCCTTTGATGTAAAATTGCTTTCTTTGGTTGATAAATTACAATGAAAACTGGTAACGTTCAGTATTTTTTTGTAAATCATTTTAAATTTATGTATTTTTTGTTCCCATTGCCTGGGAACAGTAAAAAACCAAACAAGTCAAGAAGCTCATTGTTTTCCTCTCAAATCAAATATTTGATAGTTGTGTTGTTTTTTCAGCATTATGAATGCACAAGGACAGAGAGATGTTGAAAAAGATCCAAATACCCAAAGAAAAACAAATGAAGATAACGTTGCTCTTGATGAGAATCTAGACACACTGTCTTACAAGCAGGTAGGAGATGGAAGGTCTAAAGAGGTAAATGAAGATGTGACTGTAAATGGCTTAGATGATGCAATTGTAAGTCAACAAATTGCTGGAGCAACAGGTGGTGAAGAAGCTGAAGTTAAAGAACCTCATCCTGATCATTCTGAAAGAAATGTTAATGGGGGAAATCATTCTCATCAACCTTCTGTAACGGTAAATCCAGAGGCAGTGAAAGAGTTTGAAATAGAAGCAACAGATAGCCCTGAAAAGCTGGATACAAATTCAATCAGACCAAATAGCTCTACAATAAGGAAAAGAAGGCATGATTTGGCTTTTGAATATCTAGATGTGGCAAACACCTTAGCAGGAGATGCTCATAATAATGGTGTTCTTCCTGATTGTAATGACGGCAATAATGATACAGATGAGTCTGGTGGAGCCATGAAGAAATTACTGAAGGAAATAGTTAAAGCTGCCGAGTCTAGAAAAAGGAGAAGCATACAAGAAACTTGCTCAAGACCATCATCATCTGATGATATCTCTACAACAAGAACAGATAATGAACTGGATACATCACCAGTTGAAGATACTCCTGTTACAGATCACAGCATATCAGAAGATGGATCAGAAAGTACCAGTAACAACACTAATGAGGTATTTATATTTTTTCTTCTGTTTTTTTTGCAACTACTGGCTGTAATATTCATAATAAATGGAACTTTTTGTCACTTTCGATCTTTTAAAAATTAAATGTAATGAGGGTAATTTTGAATGCTTTGTAGTTTGACTATATATTAAAGTTCTACACATAAGAATTTTTTACCAAAATGTCATTGGATTATTACCGGTATCTAAATAAGACACAGTACATTTAACAATTTCTTGTACACTTGAATTGAAATCTTGTGTAAATTATTCTGTAGTTACTTATTTAGTATATAGAAGTCAAGTGAAGAATATAATTATACCACATAAAACAATAGCTGTAAATAAAATTACATATGTGTAAAAAACATACTTGAGGACTAATATTTGTCTTATTTTGTGACATGTACTTTTTCCACTGAACTGACCTTAAACTTTTAACTGCAGTTATAAATGTTATAGCAGCTATTTGAGCGTTATTGTGACAGTTGGCCCACTAATATTCTCTGTTACTTTTGATTATACACTCAGATGTCAATTACAGGTAATGATTATAACAATATGCAATAGTTTATGCAGAAAAGTTTTTTAAAGACTACATTTTATGCAGAATAGTTTTTCATAGAAAGTTTCCTGTTATATATTAAAAGAAATTTCATAAAGAATTGGACAATTGGCTCGACTCAGTCTATTTGTCGGTTCTGAGAATAAACTTGAAAAGTATTGATGTCATTTAATTATTGTATTCCTAGAAACAATGTGGAAACAATATTTTCCCGTTCTTCATAAGGATGGTGTTTATGTGGAGACAAACTTGCGTGTAATTATAGTGACCACGAATTTCAAATTGCTGGGGTAAAAAGCAGAAATGTATTACAAGAGTTTTAAAAGCATACGATATTGACAAAATCTTTAAATTGTATCTATATAAACAATCTATATTGTGTTAATATAAAATACCATTCTGACATAATTCTCTGATACCGTAATCAAATGAAAATGTATTCAGATGACTAAAATATTTCCTTGCAAATATTATTATTTGCATTTAAAATCATAACGTCAAGTTAAATAATCATGTGATTTATGACTGACATTACTATCTGAAAAGAAATTTTACAATCATCATATATAACCATTATTTTCCTTTCATAGATGTTTCTCCACAAAAAAACTTCCTTAAAAAAAAGTGTACTTGTTTACCTCATACATTTTACAAAATTAAATGTATGTTTGTTTTCCATTATAATGTATACCTGGGTATGCAGTTTTTATGCAAGAATTAAAACATGATATTATTTTTATTTTAATAAATACAAGGACTTCTCAAAATAGAATAATGTATTAATCTTTACTTTTATATACAGTTTATAGTTTTTGATTTCTGATTTCTTATAATAGTTAATTATGTATTTGTCTATAACTTAATTGCTTGAATTGGTTTTCCCAATAAGAAAAATGTTTCCATTTTTTGTGTAGCCTCTACAGAGTAGTGGCAACATTATAGGGATCACTTCTCTGTTGTCTGACTGTCCGTCCGTCCATCTATCTATCTGTTCATCCTTTCGGCCCAAAAATTCTCCGGACTACACCTTAAAAACTCCCCATGCAATTTTATACAAACTTTACAGGAATGATCAGTACCATTTCTAGTTGTGCATATCTTCAGCATTTTTTGGTTTAATGATTTTGTCAGAGTTATGGCCCTTTAATGATTTTATTTTATAGTTTGTGTGGACTTTAGTAACTCTTATACCACTAATGCAATTTTAAAGAAACTTTACAGGATTTATCTGTAGCTCAAATACTTGCACATAATACACAAGTTTTCCGGTTGAATCAATTGGAGCTGAGTTATAGCCCTTCAATAAATCAAAGGGCTGCAAAGCTCTGTGGTATTTTCTGATCTTTGCAATCTAAATCATTACAGCGACTGCGTTTAGATTTTTTTCTATTGATACATATGGAATTTTGCATGACTAGAGTTGTATCAAAAAATCATTTTTCATTTTTTATGACAGCCACACTTTATCCTTGCATATCGTGGCTATATATATTGAAGACACTTCAAAAAAAAGTTGCATTGACTAGGATTTTGAACATTAGGCGCGCTACCTCTGCACCACGGTGAAGTAATACATATGTAGCTTGAATAAAAACAAATACATTGTAATTCTAAATTGAGAATTTCCATTTCGTGTTTGTAATCCTTATTAATTTTGAGGTATTTTGTTCACGATAAACCTGTTGTTTAACACTGATGAAAATAATTTAGCGAAAATCTTCTCGCCAAAACAGTCCGACATGTATATATACCACTACTCGACAGTCAGATTTATTTGTGTATTACGCTCTGGAGTATTCGGTAATCGACATAGCTAAAAATAGCATTTTCATTGATTAAGCTTTACAGAACTAGCCGAACATTTTTCATTGGGTAAAAAAGATATTTATCCGTGAAATTTGTCATTGTAACCTCATATTTCTATTGACTAATCTAAACTTTTAATGCACTGTAATTCGTTTAATGCCTACATTAAAAATTATTCTTATTTCTTTTAAATTGCTGATTTTTAAAGCAGTTTTGAGTGAAAACTACTTTGCGTTGTTAGGTCTGTTAGGAAATTTTGTGTTAGACCGTGATTGTGAGCTTTGTATTTACTGATCTTGCGATCAGAAAATACAAAAAGGTGTTTTTGTGTTGCCAGCTACACAAAAGTTTACAAGACTACTCCTCAGAAACTACTGGTGCAATTTCATCCAGACTTTATCAGTTTGATATGCTGTTCTAACTTTTGCCTTCTTTAAATGTTTAGGACAGTCGTAAAACCGCAAGGGAAAGTTGCGAGTTTATGGGATATAAAGCAGACGAGATAGACGAGGCCATAAATCGCTACAGTCAGTTAAACGGTAAAAAGAAAGTTAAATTCATTTGTATAAGGATTGAATAACCATTTCAAAGTATTTTATTTTTATAAATTTAGACCCAGCTAGAGCATTAGACTTGTAGTTACCATTATTAGCTTTAATGTGGGAAGACAAATTATTGTACATGTATCTTGTCGTTCCAGATTTCACAATTTAATGATTATTAAAAACAACAAAATCTTAAGATAATTCAAAACAAAGTGATCTATAGGAATAAAAGTTGAATAAAAGGTTCAAGCAGTTGTGTGATAAAGACAACTCTAAAGCTATATTCACCTCTTACTGCACTTATATCAGTCATTACTTCTCAGTGTAATTATGCAGTAAAGCAGGAGTGTGAAAATAAATATTTCCGGGAATATGTTTACTTTTTAAGATCATTGGTTAGAATGATGACCTACTAACTACAATTTAAAGGTGACTTTTATGTTTTCCTATATTCATAAGTACGATTTAAAACCCATATAAAACTATACTGTTTTTATATTCAGTGTTGCCAAATTACCGGTACTAATGTCATATAATAATAACAGAAAGCAGGTAAAAAGTGATCAGGTACATTTTGCGAGATAACTAGCATTGCATCAGTTCAGCATTTACAAAATTGTCATTACCTCATACAATTTGTCCCTGTCACTTTATCTCCTAATTTCAGTGTAATAAACTAATATGACACAAGGAGTGTGGCAAATATCTCAGACCTACTGAATATAAAAACAATAATGTGATATATATGTTATTGTGCTGATGTTTAGCTCAATTGGTAGTGTTGAACTGTGAAAAGGGCCATCCAGACTCTCTTTCCAGACCATGCAGATCACTTTTGTTGTGATTGATCATGAAACAGCTGACAGTGCAGGTCACTTTTGTTGTGATTGATCATGAAACAGCTGACAGCGCAGGTCACTTTTGTTGTGATTGATCATAAAACAGACAGTGCAGGTCACTTTTGTTGTGATTGATCATGAAACAGCTGACAGCACAGGTCACTTTTGTTGTGATTGATCATGAAACAGCTGACAGCGCAGGTCACTTTTGTTGTGATTGATCATAAAACAGACAGTGCAGGTCACTTTTGTTGTGATTGATCATGAAACAGACAGCGCAGGTCACTTTTGTTGTGATTGATCATGAAAAAGCTTACAGCGCAGGTCACTTTTTGTTGTGATTGATCATGAAACAGCTGACAGTGCAGGTCACTTTTGTTGTGATTGATCATGAAACAGACAGTGCAGGTCACTTTTGTTGTGATTGATCATGAAACAGACAGCGCAGGTCACTTTTGTTGTGATTGATCATGAAACAGCTGACAGCACAGGTCACTTTTGTTGTGATTGATCATGAAACAGACAGTGCAGGTCACTTTTGTTGTGATTGATCATGAAAACAGACAGTGCAGGTCACTTTTGTTGTGATTGATCATGAAACAGCTGACAGCGCAGGTCACTTTTTGTTGTGATTGATCATGAAACAGACAGTGCAGGTCACTTTTGTTTGTGATTGATCATGAAAAAGCTTACAGCGCAGGTCACTTTTTTTTGTGATTGATCATGAAACAGACAGTGCAGGTCACTTTTGTTGTGATTGATCATGAAACAGCTGACAGCGCAGGTCACTTTTGTTGTGATTGATCATAAAACAGACAGTGCAGGTCACTTTTGTTGTGATTGATCATGAAACAGACAGCGCAGGTCACTTTTGTTGTGATTGATCATGAAAAAGCTTACAGCGCAGGTCACTTTTGTTGTGATTGATCATGAAACAGCTGACAGTGCAGGTCACTTTTGTTGTGATTGATCATGAAACAGCTGACAGTGCAGGTCACTTTTGTTGTGATTGATCATGAAACAGCTGACAGTGCAGGTCACTTTTGTTGTGATTGATCATAAAACAGACAGCGCAGGTCACTTTTGTTGTGATTGATCATGAAACAGCTGACAGTGCAGGTCACTTTTTGTTGTGATTGATCATAAAACAGACAGCGCAGGTCACTTTTGTTGTGATTGATCATGAAAAAAGCTTACAGCGCAGGTCACTTTTGTGTGATTGATCATGAAACAGACAGTGCAGGTCACTTTTGTTGTGATTGATCATGAAACAGACAGTGCAGGTCACTTTTGTTGTGATTGATCATGAAACAGCTGACAGCGCAGATCACTTTTGTTGTGATTGATCATGAAACAGACAGTGCAGGTCACTTTTGTTGTGATTGATCATGAAACAGCTGACAGTGCAGGTCACTTTTGTTGTGATTGATCATGAAACAGACAGTGCAGGTCACTTTTGTTGTGATTGATCATGAAATCCTTTCTAAATTGGTTATTCCCACTACACCACTGCTCTGGCATGTACAAAAGTACTGGATAACTAGCAGTTTCTTGCAAAAATGAAGCCACCTTAATACTGGTAAACTGCTTAACTGCTTGCACAGGAATGGTGCTGTGGCTGAACTGCCCTGGTGAATTCAGTGTGGCTAAGTGCAATGATCCAGAGTGTGCACCTACCAACACCTATATGTTTTTATATTAATACAAATCTAATTATAATAAAACACCTTCAGTACACTGGCCAGATGTTCATGCTTACAAATGATATTGGAGACAAACACTTTCCTGGAAATATTTTTCATGAAGCTTAAAAGAAATCTAAATAACATTTCTTTCAATTTCATTTACTCTAAAACAAAAAGGTTAATTTACTTACCATAGTGCTCATTTAGGCCAAAGAATTGCACAATTCTGCGTTACTAAATTTGCACAATTCCTGTGTTATTTTCACATTGCTTTGTTTGTGGGGTAACCGTAACACAACTGGTAAACTATGCACCCAGAGGAAAATGTTTTGATTTGCAGGATAATTGGATAGATTTTAAAATGTGATATTATTTCACTATCAACTATGAAGATATCAACCTGTACAGCAGATTGTTACGTAAATGAATAAGAAAGTTAAACAAATAATTGATAATAACTGACAAATAACAAATCAGCTGTAAGATTAAATTGGAACATACTGTATTAGTTTATCTTACCTGTCTGTCTAATATTCTAATGTTATGTTTTTATTTTGATGAATTAATAGATGATGCAGATGACTTTCATGCTATAGATTTAGCAGAGCTGATTGATGATAAGGTTTGTGATGTTTCATACTGATCACTTAATTATGTTACAAAGTTAAACTTTTGTGATGGTGTGTTTACTGTAATTTGACATTACCTAGACTGTCTTGAAATATTAAAGTATGTAGTGGGCATTGATTAATATACACAGGAGTATATAATCTCTGCAAGTTATATAAGATAATTCTACTGGCCACAGAAGCTAAACATTAAGTGAGGAAATTTTCAAGTACACAAATTATGTTAAGTGTCCACTATTACCCTTTAGTTCTCTCAGTTTACATAAACTTACAGTAAACTACAATGCTACAATGCCAAAAGCAATGCAATAAGCAGAAACCATGCATCTATGTGCAGACTCAAGGTCAAGGTCACCCTTGAAGGTCAAATGTCTGACAATTTTGTGTCTCATTACGAATCATATTTCAGTTAAAGGATTTTTTTCTTTTGACTAATGGCTCCAATGTTCACCTTAACAAGGTGATATGTAGAACGTGCAGCAGCTGTGCAGTCTCAAGGTCAAGACCACCCTTTAAGGTCACATATCGGACATTTTGTGTCCACTTTTTAAATCCTATACCCCTTGAGGTATTTTCTTTAAACATGGCTCAAATGTTCATGGCAATGTGCAATTGTGCAGGCTTCAGGTCAAGGTCACCATTGATAGTCAAAATTTGAACATTTTGTGGACACACTTTAAATTATGTACTATTCAAATGATTGTTTTTGTCAAACTGAATTGTTTCTTTAAAAAATGAAGATAAATTGCACTACATAATATTCTTTGTCATAGAGATCAGGTGAGATTATTTGTCACTCATTTGGCAGCTATAGTTATTCTTATAAATTACAACCACTATAGCTAAGGAATTTGCCATGTAGCTTATTTGTTCTCAATGAAGTTAAATACTTCATGCTCCCAGGGTCAAAATTGGCCCTACCTTAGGATTCAATTAATAGTGTACATATATAGAATAAGAAAATGCATTACAAAATGTTTCTGATAGTTTCTAAAGCTTAGATATTTTGCACGAATAATGTTCTAGTGTCCCAATTAACCTATGGATCAATAAGCAGTGTATCTCAGGTAAGGGTTCATATTAGGTGCATATTGCCCTCATGTTTTGCTTATGCTAGCTATTGCCTAAAAAGAAAAAAAGCTATTGAACTACAGATTTCCTACTCATGGCAAAGTGAAGTTATGTGGCACATTTTTAGATAGCTTCTTTTCTTCATAAACACTTAGCAATATTTACACAGTTTAATGATTTGAAGTGTGCTCATGATACAGCTAAATATAATATAGATAAGAAATGTTTGCTTTTTGGTTTACCTGCAGATATTTTTTTGCCTTGTGCACTTGAACCTTGACTGATTTGCAAAATAAATTCATTTAGACATAAAATCTTTCAGTTGTAGTGGCTAAGAAAGTGATTTGTATAGAATATATGATAAAACTAAATATTTTGAGTACACATTCAGAGAAATGATGAGGTGCCTGATGCAAGTTCTGACCCAGGCCCAATTGCCAGTAAAAATGATCATGTGGGGGACAGCCAGGAGCACGGAATCATGAACATGGATTCAAGAGAAGTCCAGTATTCCACTACTGCTATTGTGATAGTCAAAAGTAATTTTCAGCCATTTACCTTTCAAGTTTAAGTTTTAAGTTTTTATCTCAGCTTCTCAATGAAGCTTAATGTGGAGCAGGAGATTGGTATGTAAAACTAGTTCACTTACTAACAAACATCCACAACATAATCCACAATATAGACAATAAAATGCATCAAAGGTAAATCATTTCTTAATATGTTTAAAGAGCTTGATAGCATAATTACTGAAATTTCCATTTAATAACAACACAAAACGTTGTTCAAATAATCTTTTACCTTGCCAGAAAACATGTTCCTCTGTATCAATATGGTTAATCCTGTTGTCTGTTGATAAATATGGATTTAAATTATTTGTATTTATGTTTGACTATATATGTGAATTTGTTACAGAGGATCCTTCAGATGTTAGTGTTGCTCATACTACAGTACTCACCTGTCCATGTGGATGTGGAAAAGTGTTTAAATCTCATTACCCTTAGCATTGGCATTTATCAAACAGTTTTGTCTATAACTTACAAACTTGAACTGAATATCTAGCTTTGTGGAATATGTTTATTTAGGATTTATTAAATGGACTGTCAAATTAACAAATAAGATTTCTTTTAATGTTATATTAAAAATTCCATGTTTTGAATACCTAAGTAAATCTCTTTCACTTTTCAGCTGCATAATAACAATGAAAAGTTATATAGTGTTTTGTTTGTTATGGCCAAAATTGTTTGATAAAGAACAAATTAACTTGACTTTAAATTGTATATTTTGAAATATTTGGGGAAAAATGTTTAGTATAATTTTTTTTCTTTCATGTTGTATGTTTTATTAATATGCCTCTTGTATCATGATTTAATTCTTTAGTCTTCTGGTAGCAGCACATTCTGATCACGGTATACATTGTTTGCTATAATCATCCAAGTACATTTTTTGAAAATGTCCCTATAATTATGAATGGTTTAGTCAAGGATGAAAAATGAACAAAGGGTTAGATAAAATATTTTTGAATGAATCTCTAAATACTCTGTAGTCAGAAGTTGCTTTTTTAATATTTGGTTGGCTCTAATAACTTGAAGTAGTAAAAAATATTATTAAATTATATATGATAATTATTTATCATTTTACTTTTGGTATTTTGATAAAAAAAAATTGGTAGAAGAATTCTTAAAGTCATTTGTACATGTATATTGCGTCATGAACTAAATTAATCATTTTTCACAAGTGTTTATACCCTTATCTTTTTCCTTTAATACGCAGTAGAGGAAAGGGAAGTAACTTTAGATATAATTTACAACCAAAGTAATTGAATCTGACTAACTTTTGTCAGTAATTAATATTATAAAGCAATAATTTCCACAGGGACTTGGCACAGTGTTTGGATAGTGTAAAAAGTAATTCTAGAAAAAATATATACTGTATAATATAATCTGTATATTATATATACAGTATATATTTTTCTCTAGAATAACTTTTTACACTATCCCAACACTGTGCTGAATCCCTGTGATAATTTCCTTAATAAAATTTGTGTCGTCTTTTACTTTTTAAAATCCTTTATAAATTGTTTGATTGATAATGCAAATATTTGATTACAATTATGCACTGTTTCTTTTATTTTTTCTATTAATTTCATTTTATGTATTTATATTTTTTAAAATTTTGGATTTAGAATAATGCATATTTCGACCTTTAAATACTTGACACTTCTATTTCTCTTTTACCTATTAGATTAATAATATTTATAATTATACTTGTAATTGAATTATGATGCTTCATATTTTAAACTGTACACTACAATGTTTGATTTTTTAAATGATATTTATATACTTTCTTTTTATTTAAAATCTGTAGAAATTGAATAATTAGTTTTGTAGCTATTAGAATGTTTTGTATCCTATTTTTTAGGAAGAAATATGGAATAGTAATGATTATTGCAGGAAATATGATATAATAATTATACTAGATATAATAATTATACTAGTATAAATTATAATATAATATATTTATATTAATATTAATAGTAAGTTTATATATTTTGTTTGCAAATCAAAATTAATTTTCTTATTTAGAAATGGTAACTTCTTTGGAATATTGCACACAGGTATAATTGTGATATAATGATGTGTTGCTGCTTAGCTAAATACATATAATTAATTCTTTTATGCCACTGGACAAAAAGCAATTAAATCATCTGTCTGTCTGTCTGTCTGTACAAGGGTAACCTTAACCAGCAAGTTGGATATATCTTAAGTTCTACCTATACCAAATACTTCATAATTAACACAGTTTAATATGTATCAATATAAAGTACATAGTATTGCTAAGTTATATAATTTTGCTGTTTTTTCCCAGTTATTTCCCTTTTTATATTACTTTGAAAATAAATATGGTTAACCAAAACTGGCAAGTTGAATATATCTGTACTAATGGCCTCATAATTTCACAATTATACTTATCAATGCAAAGTTTATGATATTACTAAATTATACAACTGGGCCTTCCATTATTTTTTCCCAATTATTTCCCCTTTTATCACTTTGAAAATAAGGCCTGATATGGTTACCCTATTCTGGCATCTTAAATTTCTTCTAGCATCTTCAATATCAATAATATCTAAAATATTTGGTAGATGTCCTCTTACTTTGAGTGGAGTTTGGGATCACTGGGGTGAAGGTTAAACTGGTGTAAAAAGTAGATTTTTACACCTTTGCTTATATAATGTGTATTTATAAATTGATGTCTTTCATGTTTGAAAGGGACATTCCTAGAGTGGTCCTCTATTATAAAGTTTGGGTGGAGTTGATCACCAATGCCAAAAATAGATTTTTACACTTTTGCTTTTTAACAATCTTTCTTTACATAACCTAGTGAATGTGTAACCTGTCTGGAAAGTTTGTTACTGACAAGAATCTCTGCTGGTGGCATTAAATGTGTTTTAACTAGACACATTCTTGTGTACTATCAAATTAACCAACTGGCGGCATGGCCGAGTGGTTAATACATCAGACTAGTAATCTTATGATCGCTAGCCGCATGGGTTCAAACCCCGTCAGGGGCAAGTCGTTGTTTCCTTGAGCAAGAAACTTTACACTCATTGCTCAGTACTGGTTGGTTCCAGGAACAGATTCGAAAGTGTGTCTATAAGCTTATATAGCTTCCTACACAATCGAACTAAAATAAATTCTGTATAAACCAAATTAACCATTGGAATATTTATAGTAATTATGTGACTGTTATTGAATAGATTTGTTTGAGTTAGAGTTTTTAGCATATAATACAAGTGTATAATATTGTAATGCTTGAAGTATGATAACCTTTTAGTATGTAGCTGACACAGTTAGTTTTTAGATTTTAACTTTGATGGTTGCCAAGAAATTTACATGCTAATGTAAATTATTCAAATGATGCTTTTAGTGTATTTCTGCTTCATAAATTGTCTTTTTTATCAATGTATTTAATACCAATATTTAGTATTCCTGGGTTATTAAGGATTGAATGCTTTTATTGAACCATAACACTGACATATTCACAGTATATAAACCAGTCTACTTCCTGCACTCGCAAGAAAGATAAAATATATAGGCTCCCAAGAAGGGTACAGGATAGGAAGTTAAACATGTGTTTGTACTTTCAAGACCGGGTAGATATTGAATTGTATAGGCCTGCAAGACACTGGGTACATGTACATATTGAATTGTATAGGCCTGCAAGACACTGGGTACATGTACATATTGAATTGTATAGGCCTGCAAGACACTGGGTACATGTACATATTGAATTGTATAGGCCTGCAAGACAGGGTATGTGTACATATTGAAATGTATAGGCCTGCAAGACACTGGGTACATGTACATATTGAATTGTATAGGCCTGCAAGACAGGGTATGTGTACATATTGAAATGTATAGGCCTGCAAGACATGGTACATGTACATATTGAATTGTATAATTATGGTACATGTACATATTGAATTGTATAGGCCTGCAAAACAGGGTACAGTGATTTCATTTATATATTGTGATATTGAGCAAACATGTTTTAATTTGTTTGTTTAACTAATTGTCCAATATACATAAAAGTAGATAATTCACACCTTGCATGCAGATGGTTTTTTTTATGCTCCCTGACAAATTTCGGGGGAGCATATAGTTGGCGCCTTGTCCGTCTGTCCGTCCGTCTGTTGTCTTGTCCGGAGCATAACTTGAAAACCCTTGGAGATAATTTGTTTAAACTTCATATAATGGTAGAGGGCATTGAGGGGGAGTGCAGTGTCAAAGAACCATAACTCTATTTTGCCTGGTTTTTGAATTATCTCCCCTTATAGAAAAATCTTGTCTGGGACATAACTCTATAACTATAAGAGATATCAACATGGAACTTTGTAGGTGAATAGATCTCAATAGATCTTATGTGCAGTGCATAAGAACAATAACTCTTTTTGTTCTCATTTTGGAGTTATTGCCCTTTGTTAATTTTAACACTTTGAACTTTGTCCGGAACATAACTCTAAAACTATAAGAGATATCAAGATGAAACATTGTAGGTAGATAGATCTCATTAAGTAGAAGTGCAGTGCAAAAGAACCATAACTCTGTTAAGCCTCATTTTTGAATTATCTCCCCTTTTAGAAAAATCTTCAGGACATTGAAAAATCTTCAGGACATAGCTGTAAAACTATAAGAGATATCAACATGAAACTTTGTAGGTAGATATATCTCAATGGGTAGATGTGCTGTGCACAAGAATCATAACTCTGCCTTGCCTAATTCTGGAGTTATTGCCCTTTGTTTATTTTTACTTTTTGAAGTTGTCCGAGACATAACTCGGAAACCATAAGAGATATCAACAAGAAACTTTGTAGGTTGATAGATCACATTGATTAGAAGTGCTGTGCAAAGAACAATAACTGTGCCTTGCCTAATTTTGGAATTATTGCACTTTGAACTTTTTCCAGGGACATAACTCTAAAACTACAAGAGGTGTACAAACTTGGTAGACACTCACTAGAAGATGTTTCATGCCAAATATCTAAGCTCTAGCTCTTTGGGTTTTTTTAAAGAAGATATTTAAAGTTTTTTCTTTCGGTTGCCATGGTAACCAGAGTTCTGCATGGAATTAAATTCTTTGAACAATTTTTAAAGGTGACCACCAAAGATACATTCCTATGAAGTTTGGATGAATTTGGCTCAGTGGTTTATGAGGAGATGTCATTTAAAGTAAAAGTTTACGGACGGACGCCAGACGAAAAGCGATCACAAAAGCTCACCCTGTCACTGTGTGACAGGTGAGCTAAAAATAGGAAAATAAAAAAAAATCCTGCATAAAACGATCTCAGACAGAGTGATGCACTTTGTCGGGAGAAAAATAGAAAAGAATGAAATGAAGGTGCAACACGATTTTTAAAATTAGATTGGCCATAAGTACTGTACACTAGCTCTTATTTAAATCCTTTATTTGGGTGAGGTTTGTTAATTGGATTATTTGTGCATATTATTTTGGTAGTGACAAATTATGTTGTGCCTGTGAGTTCTTTATTTTTATACAAAGGCCCATTCATATAAATGTAATCTGTTTGCAGGGTATATCAATTTAATTACAAAAAATGTTTGAAAATCCATTATGATGTAAATTAAGATACAATTTTTCAGGATTATTTATGCCCAAACTAAAAAAGTTGGGAGTGTACTTATATACTATGACTGGTGGACCATTTTTTACCTATGTTTGTCCAGTTAT